GAATCACCAAACATTTGGTCTTCCACCTAAAGTTCTAAGAATTTGTTGAGGAGTCCTTGATATTTCTTCTGTAGTTATAGATTGTTGTGTTCCTGATCCACCATCAGTAGTAGTTCTAGAATTTCTTTGTGTTGTAGATCTAACTGTTGCAGTAGTAGAAAATTATTGTGTTGCAGATCCACCACCAACAGTAGTACTAGAATGACCTCCTGATGCAGCTGTAGTAGCATGTGCATTTGCAGTACTACTCCCAGCACCAGTAGTTGAACTTTGCCCTTTCTAAAATACCCATAATATAAATTTTTTTTAGCAAAAGACTAAAAAATACTTAAAGCATAAGGAGTATTTGTTTCTTACCAGGATTGGACATACTTATTGTTATGCCCTACTGTCTTGCAATGAGAAGAGGTCATTGGTGTTCCCTTTCTTGATCTCTTACCAAATTTCTTTGTAGGTTCATCTTGAACCTTCCTTCTATGTTTCTTAGGTATACCATGCATCTTAGTAATTACAGGAGGCTCAACTTTGGGGTTTTGAGTTGGAGGCCACATCTCCATGTTGGTCATAGGTTGAATGTAACAATTGAATGCCTTGAAGTATGTTTTCTTCTTATTCCAATGCTCAACATAGTCAGCAATGTCATACCTTTAAAAAAAAGTACACAAAGTGTATTGGAGGAGGGTATGCCTTTCAGCTGCCACATTCTACATGTGCACTCTTTCTTTGCAAAATCAACTATGTATTTATAAATTCCATCTTGGATCTTAAATCCAGTGTCCACATTCCATTTATATTCATGCTTGGTGGCTCTTATAGATTGCTCTTCAATGTACCCTATTGCCATAAGAGATATATCAGAATTCCACTTTGTAACAATTCTCTCATATTAATATCACGATCCAAAATCCTAACCTGTCGTGATGGCGCCTATCTCAATACTAGGCAAGCCGACAACACCAATAACCCATAATTTCTTTTAAATACTGAAAACATAATAATTAAGTTTAAGAGTAAATCCCACAAACATTGAAAATAAACACACTCCCAAAACTCAGTGTCACTGAGTACATGAGCATCTATACATCACTAGTCTGGAAAACACGGTCTATAATAGTTTGAGACAAAAATATAGTAAACAAAATATATGGAAGGAGAGACAAGGTCTGCGAAATATGGCAGCTACCTCTGAATTTCTGAAAAATCAATTATGCGAAAGAATCAACACCCATTGTGTCCGGCATCAACTGGATCTGCACACGAAGTACAAGGTGTAGTATGAGTACTACCAATACAGTAAGTAATAATACAAAATAAAGAACTGAAGATAATGACGAGCTTCACAGTTAAGTCCAAATACAATAATTTCCAACATAAAAAGATAGGCATGCTTTCAAGTTCAACATTTAAAACTCCACAGTAATTTCATATCAACTTCGACTGAAACAGAAGAAAGATGTCTTTTAGAAATTTTCCAAAACCGTGATATATGACAGCTGAAATGTAGCAATAATGAAATCAATGCATCCTCTGAGAGTAATAGTCACTCAGTCCTCCCATTCACTCCAACCTCACAGCCACTCTTTCCTCACAGTCACTCATTCCTCACAATCACTCAGCACTCGACACTTGACACTCTGCACTCGCACTCAGTAGGTACATGCGCTCACTAGGGGTGTGTACAGACTCCGGAGGGGCTCCTTTAGCCCAAGCGCTATAACAAGTCAATCATGGTATATATCAATAAAACATATTGCGATGTGCAGTGCGATTCTATAAATATCCTCAAAATTAGGCCCTCGGCCTCACTCAGTCATCAACATCTCCAGCCTCTCGGGCTCTCAGAAATTATGATAAGCAGCCCTCGGCCTCAAAATAGTGATATGATGCATCAATAATAAAAGAGAGAGACTGAGATGTAATATGCAAGTAAAATCATGACTGAGTGAAAAATAGTAATTTAACAGATAATTTAATATGTACACGACCTCTGTGGGTCCCATCAGTGTCAACACATGGTTTAAACATGATTTATAGTTCAGTTTCCATAATACGTGAAAATATGTACGGGTAACAACTATTTATTCAACTACACAGATCCATAGAATTGACCAAGTCACAATTCCTACGGTGCACACCCACACGCCTGTCACCTAGCATGTGCGTCACCTCAAAACCAATCACATAACACATAATCCGAGGTTTCATACCCTCAGGACTAAATTTAGAACTATTACTTACCTCAAACCGTATAATTATTTATTCCGCTATGTCCTTGCCACAAGAATTGGTCTCCGAAAGCCTCATATCTAGCCACAATTAATTCGATTCAGTCAATACCAATTATTGTAATTAATTCCATAAGAAAATACTAATTTTTCCAATAAAATCCAAAATTTAACTCAAATATAGCCCGTGGACCCCACGTCTCGGAACCCGACAAAAGTTATAAAATATGAACTCCCATCCAACCAGGAGTCCAATCATACAAGTTTCACACAATTCTGACATCAACTTGACCGTCAAATCTTCAATTAAATTCTTTGAAGATTTCTACTATTTTCAACCCAATATTTACCCATTTGAACTCAACAATCTTTCCACAAACCTTATTGGTATGCGTGTGTATAAATAATACCCTCACTCCCAAGAATTATACTCCCAATCACCCATATCTTCCCAAACTCGAAATTGAAGAGTAGGGTTAGAAATTCCTACCTCTTTGAAGCCCTAGCAAGATCCTTGTGAAATCTTCAAACGTTGAACAAGAATTAATGGACAATTGACTAGGCCTTCACTTTCTCTCTATAAGATGCTCTCACCTCTCTCTAAAATATCAGATGAAATCCTTCAAAATGACCCCCAATAGTGTTTTATAAGAATGGAGTCGAGTTTATAAAATCAGAAAAATAAAGTTCTGAAACACACTCTGCGGTCGCATATGCGGCCACCATAATGGGTCGCAAAAATGGCCTCCAGAATTGGACAACGCTGCCTCAGTCTGCGGTCATTATACGGTTCGCAGACCTATTTTTCGGTCACATAATGCACCGCAGAACTGATATGCGGTCGCATAATGCGCCGCAAACTTTCCTCCACACTTGCCCCACTCCTGATTCACTCTACGACCATTATGCGGTGTGCAGAGTGATTTTGCGACCGCATAGTGGGCCATAGAAATGACATTTTCTGGCAAATAACATTTTTTGGCCACGAGAATTGGTCTCCGAAAGACTCATATCTAGCCACAATTAATTTGATTTAGTCAATACCAATTATTATAATAAATTCCATAAGGAAATACTAATTTTTCCAATAAAATATGAAAATTAACTCAAAAATCGTCCGTGGGCCCCACATCTCGGAACCCAACAAAAATTATAAAATATGAACGCCCATCCAACCACGAGTCTAACTATACAGATTTTACAAAATTATGACATCAACTCGACCCTCAAATCTTCAATTAAAATCTTTGAAGATTTCTACCATTTTCAACCCAAAGTTTACCCATTTGAACTCAACAATCTTTTCACAAACCTTATTTGTATGTGTATGTATAAATAATACTCTCACACCCAAGAATTATACTCCCAATCATTCATCTTTATCCAAACTCGATATTGAAGACTAGGGGTTAGAACCTTACCTCTTGGGTGAAGATCCTGTGATATTTCCTTGTTGGATTTCAAAGCTTGAACAAGATCTTGATGAACAAAGCAATTGATCTTTAAGGGCTATAAATCAAAGTTGGGTTGGGTTATAAAAATAAGAAAATGGACTCTCCAAACTAAGATCTGTGATCGCAGAGTGGACTGCGAAACTATTGTGCGGCCCGCAAAATGGACCGCGGAATTGATCTTCAAAAATTGGGTTGTTTCGGGTTGGGTCTGCGGTAGGTTTACGGCCCGCAGACCTGTTCATCAATCGCAAAATGCACCGTAGACTTGTTCTGCGGTCGCATAATGCACCGCATAACTTCCCTCCGAAAATCCCAAATTGATTCTGCGATAGGTTTTGCGATCCGCGAAATAATTATGCGTTCGCATAATTGACCGCACAATGGTCCTCAAACTTGGCTCATTTCTGCTTCACTCTGCGGCCATTATGCGGTCCGCAGAGTGATTATGCGGCCGCATAGTGGGCCACAGAAATGTATTTTCCTATAACCTTTGTACTAATTGATCTATCTCAGCACCACAAAACCTTAATTTCCTTAGCAAAAATTCTCTAGGGTCGATACACATAAGTCAACATTTGGTCAACATTTTCAACTTAAGTTCCAAACCTTGAAACTAAGTGCTCCAATTATTCTAAAACCTCACCGGACCCGAACTAATCCCCCCGGCAAGTCACATAACAACTGTAAGGCATAAATTGAACAGTAAATAGGAGAACGAGGTTGTAATACTCAAAATGATTGGTCGTGTCGTTATAATTAGTCATCCTCTCCATTACTTTCACTCTGATCTCTTCCAACATGGTTATGATTGACTTGTGCCTAGAAGTAAGTATCCAACTATTGAAGGTCTCAGACATGGGGTTCTCCACAACATCACACTTACTATAGTCTTTAAGAAAGGCAATGCACCATGACTGTTTGGGATATCTAAGCAAGTCTTCTATTATCTTATTGCCACTCAATTCTGCCAACTCATCTAGTTTAACCTTCAGAAATACTTCAAATGAAGCTCTTGCACAATCCCATAATTTCTTCCTTCTTTCCTCACCACTCCAGGTTTTCTTCCAGTTGCTCCAACTCATCTAATTTAACCTTCAGAAACAATATACATTTCTATGCTCAGCATTTGGCATCAATTCAGATACAGCTTGAAAAACAAAAATACACTGTTAAAGTTCATATAATGCAAGCTTAAGTATTAAAGTAAAAAATGAGATTAAAACAATATACATACCTTCTGCATATCAGACATAATTGTTAGTCCTTCACCTTCAGATTCTGTCAGTTTCAAGTCCTCCATTAGACACCTAAAAAACCATGATCAATTATTCTTGGTCTCTTTCTCAACTACTGCCCATGCAACAGGGTATATCTGGTTATTACCATCCTTAGCATTGCATGACAATGGATCACCTTTACACACTCCCTTCAGAAATGTACCATCAAAGCCAATTATATTTCTACACCCTTCTAACCAACCTATTTTCAAAGCATGTAAACAAATATATATCCCCACAAAGACCTCTTTACCAGGTTCTATTTCTTTTGAAGTCCTCACCACAACAGTGCTTCTAGGGTTAGTAGTTTTTATCATGTCAGCATAATCATAAATCCTAGCAAACTTCATTTTGTAATCACCTAAATAATTACCCATTACCTTCTGTCTAGCCCTGACACATATTGTTTTTTCTACATACACACCATACTTAATCCTTATCAACTCTTGCAACTTATTGAGCTTTATCTCAGGCTGATTAATGAACTTATATTTGTAATGTTTAACTATCCAAGTTGTGTGAGCAAGTTTGTTCCTTGTGACTGAGAAGCATGAATGGACATGGTAGTATGTGCTAACAATGAAGTTCTTTGTGTGGCCCTGTAAACTGCCTAAAATATGCCATCTACATCTACTAGAGTTCAAACATGTTGCCCTGACCCTATTCCTCTCATTTGGTCTTAATTTTAACTGAACTCTCCTCTGTATAACATAGTCTTGTAAAGCAGATCTAAATTGTCTAACATTTTCAAAGACCATTCCCATTTGGAAAATAATTTTCTTACAGTTAGGGCCAAAGTAGACCTTTCTACTGTATCTTCTTGGAGGAAGGTTCTACACCTCATCATCTGCATCTACATCATTATCAATACTATCCTCGCTCCTTGGATCCGAACTTTCTAGATACTGTTCATCCCCTCCTAATTTTTCAGCATATTTAGCAGTCGTGTCCTTGTAAATGTCTTCAAAACCCAGGGTCAATACCTACTGGCTACTAGGTAGCTAATCTATATTAACATCACTAGATCTCTCTTTCCAGTTCTTTTGATTTACTTTTGTCTATCTAGCAACAACAAGGTCAACTTCTATATCACTTGTCTCTACAACAACATCCTCATCAGCATCATAAAGTGAATCATGTGTATCCTCTTCAGCAGAAACACTCTCATATTCACCATCCTCACTCTCAGAATTCCTCTCAAATTCATCACAATCTGAATTTGTGGCTAGATGAAAGTTGTAGAACTCCCCTTCATCTGAGACTCTTCTATATCAGCATCCCTCCCTTCACACTTCCCCTCAGTGAAAAAACCACTATTTATATCATTGATAGGTGAATTTGTTGCCCTAGCATTAGCTCTACTTGTTTGCGTTTGTGGCACTTCACTTAAGCCAGCTGTTTGGTCATATGGAATATCACTGGGGTCCACACCACTACTTAACATTTCATCCAATTCAATATCAACGCATGGTATATTAACAGTGTGACATAAATAAACATCAATAAAATTTCCATCATGAAGGTCTTTGTAGAATTCTAGCACATCATCATCATACTTAATAAACTAAAATGCTCTTTTTTATTGACTTGACATGCAAATTTCTCCACACCTAAGTACCCCATATCATTTGCCCATTTGTTGAATTGAATAACATGCAGTTCATCAGTGTCAACAGTTACAATAGTAGGCTATGTTATACCATTTTCATACCTTATTAATGGGCCAGTTACCAGTTGTCCCCGATGGTGAAATTGTAATTTTACAATAACAGCCATCCTGTCTCACCTCACTATGCCTATGAAGAAGATAAGATAGTCCAAATCAGTAAAATATTCAAAAGAAAAAGACAATATTGTCTGAACACGTCTTTGAAAAAAAATAAGCAAATGCGGGAAAAGAACCCCAACTTTATCACTTTAAGAGACAAAATTTTTCGATATGATAAAAAGCCTTAATTTTAAACCCCATATGCCAAATCAGCCATGGAATTGACAAAATTCAGAGGAAAAAAATAAGAATTTAGTGTGTTATTCCAAAAAGCCCTAATTTTTAAACCCTAAATAACGAAAGAACCATTGCATGCATACAAAACATTATCTATCATGATCAACTTCAATAACGCATAAAAACACAAGAAAATAACTAGAAATTTCATTAAAGACAACAATCAGACGTTTAATGACTTCTACGTTTCTGGTGGAGGAGAAATCGATGGTACATGAAACACTCAGATTTTTGCTTTCTGACCGATTTTGAAAGAAAAATAAACACAATGTTCAGATGATCTAATGGACGGAAAATCCCACGACAATCGTTCACTCCATTTGAGTAGACGATTGAAAATGTTAGAGTTCTTTGAGAGAGACGACTGAAATTGAAAATGAATGAGTGTTTTAGGTAAAAAAATGAATGGGAAATAAGTCGGTGCTTAGTGGGTTTTCGCGCACGTGGCAGGTTTTAATTCGTTTATTGTTGATTGGGTTGTCACGTTTGTGAAATTGTAATGCACGCGCTATGATTTAATTGTTGGAGGTGTTTATTAGTTCACTTATGCTCAAGTTAAAGTGTTCATTTGGGAATTTTGAAAGTTTATTTATCGGCATGACAATCAAGTACAAGTTCAAGTGGCCAGGAGGCCTTTTTGCATTATTATAATTTAGGTATGCACCGAATAAAATATATCAAGTTTAAGGGGTAGTTTCGAGGTATTCTACCAAAAAAAGAATTAATTGGAGAAAACACAGATTAAATGAAGCTTCCAAGTGCACAAGTATAGTTGATTAATTAAGGTGGCCATGAATAAACGAAGTTGTTTAACACCGTAACATGAAATTCTTCTTGTTTTTCTTTTTTAAACACTGAGAGAGAAACAATTTATCCCAAATTTTCTAGTTAAGGAAACATCATATGAGGTAGCCTTTTCAAGTATAAAGACCCACAACAGCTTAACTCTTCGCAGCACTATATGTTGGCCCAAATAAAGCAAGCTATAAGCAATGAGGAATTGACCGAAAAGGAGAGTAAAAAAAAAAAAAAGAAAAACTACATCGTATAGTCACTCCCAAAAATAATAGCCGTCAATTTTTTTTAATTTTATATTAATATATTTTTATACATAATCAATATTTATTTTTTATATTTGACGAGCGAATGTAATTATTTTTGGCCAACAGACCAAATGTGTAACTTGCCCAAAAGATAAACCAAAAGCTCTCAAAAGTCATCCAATAAGGAATGGGCTTAGGATTCAAGAGTTTATCTTTTATACACTATGATATTAAAGAACGTTTACACTATCATGTAATTAGAAGTTAATTAGAAGTAATGTTCATAATAAATGAAATTGGTGCTTGGAAAATAAGACATACTACGTATTAAAATTCATTAATAGTCAATAAGTTCTTTACACAGTCAGTATATATATGTTAAATCTTTTAATCAAAGGTGGGAATATTCAAGAAGGATAGACAAGTTGGTCTTTAAAGAATCCACCATCTTTGAAGATTTTGGTTAAGTGCACTTGCAGTTATACACCGATAATGACTTCAATAAACTACTTGGTGACTTTGATGCATATATAGTCAGAACTCTCTATAAAAATATCTCTATAAAATAACCATTTACTATAAAAGTCATATTTTTTTTAGAATCGATTTTTAAGTTATATTTTACCTCTCTATAACAACTTTTTACCTATAACAACAACACTCACATTTATAGCAGAATGCTCTTTGTAAAATTACCCCTCTATAACAGCCATATAGAATCATTAAGATTACTCATAATAATTTTAAAAATATGCACATAATCTTTTTCATTAAACAAAGTTTCTATCTTGCATAAGAAATAAGATTTGAAGATTTGCATATGATATCTTTTCCATGAGATAAATTTTAAAAAATATTTAATAAAAATTTTAACTGTTAAGCTCTTAGATTGTCTTCAAGGGAAAGCTATTGGATACCTTTTTGCCGAAAATTTTGATACCAATCTTCGCTCATTCAAGAGTTATATTGCTAGTAAGAGAATGAAATCTACGAAAAAGCTACAATTACAAAGTTCTTCTATCAATCTTGAAAGAATTTATTTTTCTAGGTAGCTTTAAAATGTCTGTCTTAAAGTTTAAATCTTTATACGTTTAGTTATGAATTTATTAATAATGTATTATCTTTCTTCAATATTTTAACTAGTGAAATATGCATATCTTTTGAGATTTTAAATTTGAATAATTTTTTTGTCTTTTATATGTAACACTAATAAAGGAAAAATAATTGATTTTTAGGTAATTTTTATCTATAACAACCAAAAAATATTTACACGTCAAATGTTGTTGTAGGTTTATGATGTCGTGCTATAATTTCATATATTTTGACGTTATTTACCCTACTTGCTTGTTGTTTGGATACTAATTTGTGCGACAATTGAGCTTATTAGAGTTTATTTTACATGTAGGAATTTTTGGACATTAAGTGGAGAAAAGTTGCACGAAATTGTACCTCAAAGCTACAAAATGGAGCAATAAAAGAAGATGTGCAAGGCAATAAAAAGTCATGGCCATAGACAGTGCAAGGCTTTGTACAGGGCACTGTCATTGGCGCCTCTGACAGTGCCTCGCGGAGTAATGTTGGTGCCTCTGACAATGTACTGCGCCGACGATGCTATCCGAGCCACGTTTATTTCTATAACGACCCGACTTGTCTCTTTAAGAATTTGCATCTCGTTCGGTGGCTTAAGGTCTCTAGCAGCTTCGTCATATGTGATATGACTTGCGTACAAGGTCGAGTTTGATTTTCGGATGATTCAGGATCAATTTGGAAGAAATAATTCTTATTTTGAAGCTTAAGTGAAAAGAGTTGACCAGATATTTGACTTTTGTGTAGACGACTCCAAAATAGTATTTTGATGATTCCAATAGCTTTGTATGGTAATTTCGGACTTAGGCGTGCGTCCAGATTTGGATTTGGAGGTCCATAGAATAAATCGAAACTTTTTGGCGAAAGTTGGAAATTAGAATTCGGAAGTTTGACCGCAGTTAACTTTATTGATATCGAGCTCGAATTTCGATTCCTAAATTTGGAATAGTTTTGTTATATCATTTATGACTTATGTGCAAAATTTAAAGTCATTCCGGATTGATTTGATACGCTTCGACGCAAATCATAGTATTTGGAAATTTCATAACTCATAATTCGATTTGAGACGTGATTTGTAGTTTCAGCATTGTTTGATATGATTTGAGGCTTCGACTAAGTTCGTATCATATTTTGGGACTTGTTGGTATGATTTGACGGGGTCCCGAGGTGCTTGGGTGTATTTTTGGATCATTGGTTGAGAGACTAGTAAATTTAAGAAATTTGGGAGATTGACCATGGTCAACGTTGGGTCAAGACTACCTATTTTTTGTGTTTTGAGTGCGCGACCAGGTCCGTAGCGTATTTTATGATTGAAATTCATATATGGTTTGTGTCCGGGAGGTTCCGGATGAGTTTCGGATCATTTCAGAGAAGTTTGAGTTTATTGGTTTCTGGTGAGCCACTGTTCATTCGCAATTGTGAACACTGTTTATCTCAATTGTGAACGCTGTTCCTTGGATTTTACTGTTCATTCGCAAATGCGAAGTTTTTATCCGCAAATGCGAACCTGAACAGAAACTTAAACACCAAAAATGATCATTTCCTTCATTTCGTTTTTGGAGTTTGAAGCTCGGTTTTTTGGCGATTTTGGAGGAGTTCTTCACGACTTTGAGTTGGGTAAGTG